GCAGTACCACTCAGAGCTTTAAATCACAAGGATCTAAAGGGCACATGGGACTTGTCAACTTATGTCTCAGGGTACGCCGGACACCCTGAGACATAAGTTGACAAGTCCCATGTGCCTGTAATTTCACCAGCACCCATACCCTTCAAAACCGGACCGCAGTAATGCTCACATTACTGCTTGGCGGCAGAAATAGTTTAGGTGGCAGTACTACCCTGGTCGAACTCTTTCACAAGGAGCTCTACTGCTGTTAAAGCCCATGCAGATTGTTTATCAGTACAATAACATTTACTACGTTATATTTTTTAACTTTTACTATGGTAACGAGAATAAAAACACTTCGAACACTCCTCTAAGCAGAGGCGAAACTTGTGTAATACACTAGTAACGTGTAGACATTGACACCCATCCTTACCTTCAACATCATGCAACAAAATTACGAATACTAAAACGTAAATATCTGGTTGGAAAACCCACAGGAAATTACCTCATTTGTGGTAGCCACCTCCAAATGTTTATTATGGTTGGAATTTAAGTACAGATCTTAGGCATAAATATTATGTAACCGTGCTAAATGTTGTTATTACTATTCCCCTTAATGGGAACCACTATAGTTTTGACCCAGTATCAGTGTTGTAAAATTGTTAAGTAAAAATTTATTTGGAAGTTGATGGGTGATGCTCACGATCTGTATTTGATACGCCATTCATTATAATACTCTTTATAACAGTCTATGCTTTAGTAACTACTCTTTCATAAAATTTGGTAAGAGCTGTTACACACGGCGACTGTTGGCAATGATACACACGCGCGTGTGTGAGACTCGCGATCGCATCGTGACACTCGTGATTTAGTCTGTGCGAGGTAGCTAGGCAGTGTGTGAGGAAAAAATCACCAATAGGATTAATTCATTTCCTTAGCCTCGCTTAGCGCAACTCTGGTGGAAAAAGGCTAGAGGAGCTAAGTATTTGTACATACAAAAAAACGAGAGATGTATGCGAGGGAGGAATGTGTGAGAGAGACCATTTTTACTCGATATTTATTCAAAAACGTGGATAAATATTTTAAATCGTGGTTTATTATTCATATTTAGTAAAACGAAGTATTTTTTTAAGCTTAATTGTAAACATTGATACTATTTAGTAGCATGTACGTATAATATATTGCTTGTTATACCTTTTTTTCTATACGCAGTAATAAAAAGAATACTTTTATGTACCGTAAATCCCTGTATTTTTGCGTGAATCTTATTATTTTTTAAAGGAGTAGTTTATTAAAAAAAAAGAATTATCTCCACACAATAATAATCAGCTGTCTAACATTTTGTACGGATTTTTTTTTATCCGTTATTGTACAGTTGTTCAGCTTCGTATATAGTATATAAGGGTTTTTGGTTATTCAATATTTTATTTTTAAAACCTGTATAGACTTCATTGGAAATACTTAAGCGATAATTTATTCTAATAATTCTAAGGATATTCAATTTAAAATCACTTGGCCACTATTTTGTCAAAGCCTAAATTCGCTACCGAATAATTTACATGAGTGCGAAAGAAACAGAGAGAGCCGCTAAGGAGAATTGTATTCGCAAATCGCATCAAAGCATATTGTTTAACTACACAATTATAAACAATTATTTTTTATATCATATGTTTTAATTAACAGATTTTGTGTGTGAAATGTAAAAGCGGATCCTTGGGCTATTTCAAGTCCAAACCTGACTTTATTTAGTACGCAGTAGACCCCAAGACCATAAAGTTGGGTCGCACTTTATCAAAGCAGAATAGCTCAGTTCAGGGGTTACAGTTCATTTGATAAGTTTCTGTCAATAAAATTGTCTATACCAGCCATCGAGTATAAAACCAGAAATAGAGGCGAAATGTCATTTAATTTGATTGAAAACTATTCTGCCATATCATTACTGTGACAACTGCGCTCCGATTGGCTAGCCCGAGTTCGAAACAATTGACGGGTGTCGTCAACTGTTTCACTTCAAATCGACCAGTTAACTTGAGCTTTGGACGAAATAATGGACGAAAATGGCAAAATTAAAAAAAAAATTGTTAGAGGCATCTTTATTAAAATAAATACAGAATATTTTTTGGAATATACGGAGACGTACACACAGGTCAGTAGTTGGCCTGTTTATATTTCAGTGCGAACGAGGGTTGATATTTATAAGAGCTGTATCACTAATGTGTTACCAGGAATATATGGCCCTTATTTCGTTTCTATTTCTGGTTATATACTCGATGATATACTCGATACCAGCCAACTTTTATGTTGATAAAAGTTTAGGTGAGTATGTTGCAATTAGTTTACATTCCTACCATTAGTGAGATGTTGTCGACCCCAAAAACTTAGGTAGTAAAACAGTATTGTTACATGAAACAATTGCAAAATGAGAAGTCATTAATAAAAAATGAATTCTAATGAATTTTATTATAAAAAACACAAAAGTAATTATCCATGTTTTAGGATAAATACTCAGTGAAATCGGATTTATCCTTTGATGGATATTTATCGGGTAAAAACCCATCTCTATCTCTAGCAACTCATCCTCACACCGCTTAGCTTAGATGCGACGAGTTGTATTTTTTCAACACGAGTTACTCGAGTTGACGGGAGTGCTGCTCGAGTCAGACAAAGCAATCACAAGTTGGGAATAGCGAGCGCTAGCGATGGAAACGCGCGACTTAATCGATGTAGTCGCTTATGTTGAAAAAATTTATCTCATTAAAAAAGTGCATCGCGTTTGTATCGCGATTGTATCGCTGCTTAAGACGAGTCACTGGAGGAAAAGCGGAAAAAATTTTTTTGCCAGATCAAATTGTTTAGGCATTTACTATTAAAATAACGGTTCATACAAAAAATATACGATACATCTAAGGATACGGTGTAAAGAATGTGTTTATGTATGTATATGTCCCAGGTTGGGATGTACAACACTAAAATAAAACAAAACAAGAAAACAGACTACAATAAAAGTCTAAAACGAATTATTCAAAAATACAATATTTAACTTTGGACATAATTTTCATATGGAGGTATTTCTTTTTACTTTAACCTTATTTACTATAGTCCATTTGTTTAGGTGCTTAATCTAAATGTAAACAATCTTGATACATCTTTTTATTGAAACATGTACATTACAAATCGATAGGTATAAAAATAGGCATGCAATTTCATATGAAGCTAAGTATTTGTATTTTGCATTTGAAGGTAAGTAAAAATAATTTTATAAATGTATATTTCATTAAATAGACATATCAAGATTGTTTACATTTAGTTAAGTACCTAAACAAATGGACTATACTACAGAAAAGTTGCTAAATTTTAGTCTAAACTGATGTCCTATTAATCATTAAACTCAGACGCACGGCAGAAAGTCGCCATGTGTAACCGCTCTAAAATAGACGCATTTGTTTGTGGTACCACTATCGTGCCTTTAAATTATAGTTAATTACATTTAATAAACTACACTCGTGCACATATTTAGAGGAAAGCTAAAAAAAAGGTTGAAATATGATAATGTTCTAATGAAATGTTCATATGAACCAGTGTTGTTGCAAATATTAGCATCTGTATCCGCATCTGCGGATAATCTACATAAATTTAAAATATTCATTGCGGATGTGATATGACCTAAAAGGCACGCTGGACTACTACAACAAAACAGAATGTAAGCCGAAAAAGCGCAAAATTGCTGTTTTTAAAATATTCTCTCACATAATTCGAACCACTTTGCATTGTCGGTATTAAATGTCCTTAGCTTAAATAATGTTTGATTGATCAATAAGTAATTCAAGTTTGAAAAGGTTTTGTTGAAAATTTGAATTTGCGAAACTGGGAAAAACTCTTTCTTCAATGATAATAATATTTTTTTAATTCTAGCACTTGAAATATCAAAATGGAAGATGGCTCGATTTATATGTCCGGGAGTGTATAACTTTGATAAAATTCCAAAACGATTAAGCTAGGCAAATGTATTGTTTTCATGCATATTGATTCTTTTCTTAATAAATGTCACAAAATCATTTAAATAATAAAATTTAAATTCATTTAAATCATTTTTAAATACGTCAAATCAGCATACGCTGATATGTAAAAAACCTGCAACTGCAACAACCCTAATATGATCCACTGGCCACATATATCAGAACGTTTAATTTAAAAAAAGACTAACTTCGATCGTCACTTGTTTTCGATTAAACGTTCTGGATATGTGGCCACTGGATCACATACGTTCAGAAACGTTATTATCATTACTTAACCTATAATTAGTATTCCTCTAAATATTTCCATGAGTGTATTTGCCTACTAATTGCGATTAATTTCTTAGTAAGTTGATCAAAATAATGTAGAGTTATATATTCACCTTATCCGTTATAGATAAATGATGTTTGTAGGTGTACGTAGGCGAACACACTTGGTCGTAAACCGCGCAGGGATTTTTCCGCCGTTTCTGGTCCATGTGAATAAACGGCATTAGGGGTTTTTCTAAGAAACTACCGAATCCTATTCTGAAATCAAATAATAAATATATTATTAGACAAGATCACATACGTTGTTCCGACCCATAGTAAATAACAGAAGCACTTGTGATACAGACCCGAGGCAATAGATAAAAAGTTCGTTTTTCTACATGACCTCAGAAACGGCGACACCGGTGCACCGGTGTGCAAGCCACTCGACCACGGAAGCCGTCAAAATAATATAAATATGTATGTACCCATACAGGTTGATAAAAAAACCACTGACCGTTTTAAAGGAGCAACTGTATAATGGAAATAAAAGTACATGTTCGGTTTTTTTTTTTTCAAATACTTAACAAATAAATAAGTTATGACGTCTCAAAGTTTTCAGAAAAATTATGAACAATGTTGACATCCGATGATTAGCAGACGCCGTTGCTACAGCAACAAGAACGGTGTGGGGCAGTAGGCGGAGTCAGCGCGCGAGTTCATGTATTTGACAGAGAACAAAGTATTAAACTAACACGCGATGCGTTAACGCACGTTGATAACTCGGCGCCGATCGCTCAATTTTATTTACTATTTTGAGGTAACCACGCCTTAGAAATTATTGGGAAATATTAACATCAAAAAATGGGGAGGTTTTTTTTGTTTGATTTCACTAGTGTTCTATTACTGAATCTTATGCACAGGAAAAAAAATGGCCAGTGATTTTTTATCACCCGGTATATATGGGACGTTCCACGGCTATGCCACACGGAGGGAAAGTACCTTAAATACCATAGATGGAAAATTTTACTTTTTTTTAATTTTACATTTTGATTTTAAAAACAATTCGAACTGCATTCAAAGATTTTCAAATAATCGCCTATCTGAACCGGGCATCGAACCTGCCAAATGAGAAAAACAACACCTGTAATTTTACTACACTGATCGAAAGCCTCAATCGAAAGTGTTGTTTTCTTGTAATTAATTACATTCATTGCTATATTAATATAGCATCTTAAATAAAAGGAAGACCATGAAATTTAACATCTAAATCTCAACAATCTCGTTATTATTTTATCATGCACTTATAACTGGGAAATTATATCTATTTTTCAAATTCGTACTCATTAGTAATACTTTGAAATGATAATGCCAGATTTAAATATGGAAAAATAGTCTCATTTCCGATAATGCCAGTTGTTACAAGCGCGACAAAGTCAGAGAAAGGCTATTCAATTTTTGAACAAAATTTATAATAATAAAATGTGCGTAATAGGCGTATATAGCTTTGGTTTTTTTTTTGTTTATTTATTATAATAATTCATTGCACATATTCATTTACCTAAACTTCATCGTCATGCTTCATACTTCATGGAGGTATTATCCATTGTACCGTAGAGTAGTGGATCATACCTCCTCCTAAAATCTGGGAATTATTGTGTCGTATTTTATTCGGCATTTTTTTATATTGCAATTACTACGACAGTTTACAACATTTAAAACAAACAACACCGCCAAAATATTTCAAATATCAACAGCAGATACATTTTCACGTAGTATATACAAATAATACAAGTACTACCCAGTTTTACGGGATTTCATCCCGTGTTATAATTCTTAACTAATTTATGCACACATGGATTCAATAAGCCTGTCAATAATTTAAAAGCAGTGATAGTTATGTGGGTCGATTTTAATGATAGTAATTGTACAATGTAACTAGACGTCAAAATTAACAATTTAAATAACGTCAAAATGAATATACATATCGCTGCTTTTCCAGAACAGCGGCCTAATCCAACATAGTTCCATTTCTGACTTATTACTTATATATATATATATATATATATATATATGTATATGTATATATATAGAAGTACGTCCAGAAAATACAAAATTTAATTGCAAGTGGGACACCAAGCTTTTCATTGGTTAAAATAATCTCATGACAATGTTGAGATGGTCTACGAAATGTCAATTTTGGGCGGCAGACACGTCTCAGTTATTTAAACCATCTGCCTTCTTTTATTTTATTTTTTTCAACCTCTAAGCATCTGCCTGATGCATTTACATTTAACAGCCACTGTTCCAGAAAGCCGTTGAAATGTCAAAGATTAGACAGTCTTCATTATTAGGGATTTGTCATTTAAAAATTCGGATACTGTATAGTATATTTTATTAGTCAATGAGTTGTTTAATTGTTTAAATAACGTAAGGGTTTTCAGACCCTTGTACTTTTAGCAAAGTATTGAACATTTTTGGGGCCATTACAAAAATACTTTTCTGCATGAAGATAGTTTTACAAGTTTTCAAATGTAGTTCGTCATAACGTCTTGGGTTTCGGACATATGCGGTAATTTCTTAGATATACATATAAAGTGAAGGAACAGCCAGTAGTCGAAGATCTTGGATGGTTTGCATCTATCCGTTTTCTTCAATCGACAAATGTTACCTACTTGAAATTGGCGGTGAGATTTTTCAGCATCGGTGGCAAATCATCCCTTAAAGAGACCAAGGTCTCCTTGTCATCCAGCATAGAGTACGTGAGGTCCATCAGGTAGTACAACTCGAGGGGATAGTTCCTGGCGGGCCTGTACGAGAATTTAACTTTGACCGTTTGCCCTGAAAAGATAATCTTTATGTTAGAAAGTTTGTTTATATTAAACTATTTCCGAGGTTTTTCATGAGATAATAGACACGACCATACCGTATAAAGCTAAAATGACAGACTGAGCTCAAGTATGTGGAACTGCGCATACTGTTGGCACACATGCCTAGCCCTCTAAGGATTTCCGCTGTAGGTATATAATGTTCTGTGGGTAGGACCAAATTTATTTTGAAAATGATCTCTACTGTATCCGTTCTGGACTGTGTGGTCAGAATAGTGCCCCAGATTGAGTTCCGTTGCTCTGGTACTCACACTGGTAGTACAGAAAATTCCCTAGTTTTAAACCAAGTACTTAGTGTGGTTGTCTGAGACATAATTTTTGTTGTTATTGCACGAGACTGTACAACAGGAACCAGTGGCGCAGCGTGAGGGGGTGCAGAGGGGGCCATGCCCCGGGCGGCACAGCAACGGGGGCGGCGGCAAGCGCTGCCGAGTCTAACTAGTCAAAATGTTTTTTCAACTTAAAATTAGAAAATAAATTCCGCTATTTGAGAAAACGATATCCTGAACGACACAAAGATGGCCACATAAAAACAACATAGAGGGGGCATCAAATTTAGGGTGGGCCCAGGGCGGCAGAAATCCTCGCTACGTCACTAACAGGAACAAGTTGACTTCGTGAAATTACGCAATTTCTCACTGCCTTGCAGAAGATAACTGCGCAAATATCTATCACAACTTATCTTCTTTGCTATTGTATGTTCTTGTATAAACGAGCAGTATAAGTTATGTTACAAACAAACTCACGTGGCTTCAGCGACAGGTGTACTTTCTGCGGTTGTATCTGTACGGCTTTGTCAACCTCTGAACTGCCAGTGGGGACGTCCTGTAAGGGGCGGTTGTCGGTCACATTCCACACTGGGGCCTCTGGACGCTGGATCGCCGCTTGACTGCATCCCGCTAGTACAAGGCTGGAGGAAGTAAAAATTCGTTTATTTTGATATTTGTTTTTGATGTCGAGTGCTAATACTTTCGCAAATATCATCACCTGCACTAGGGAAACCCTGTACCGCGGGTGCCATGGACATACACATAAACAACCACAAATTACACCCAAATAAAAATAAATGGACGTCATACAAATATTTCTCCCGGCCCGCGATTAACTGCCTCCGTGAACGAACGGTGACCATGCTGGTCTGCCACGTGAAAGTACCGGGTTCCATTGCCGGGTCGAGGGAAATATTTGGATGGCCTACATTTATTTGTCGTGAGTTTGATGTAATTTGTGGTATTCTGTGTGTGTCCATGGCACCCGCGACACAGTATACAGTAAAATAAAGATGCTTTTTAGCCGTAGCCGCCATCTGTGAGAGATCTATGATAGTATTTCTTCATTCCGCTGGTAGCAGTATAGATGACTAGAGATGTCCCTTTAATAATTGTAATTTTTAAGTTTATTGAATATCACAATATTTTGCTACCATGATATGAGGATGAAAAAAAAAGTTTGACCCATTCAATTATTTTTTGTGAAATTAGTCAACTGGTTTGTTATAAAATTACTAATAGAAAGTTCGATCATATAACTATAAACAAAATAAAATATGTGATATTGTAATTGTTTTGAACTTACATCAATACCATGGTCTTATACAATGCCAATACTGTATGTATTTTGTCATATTGTCTACATATCTGATCTATCTTGGGTACAAGTCCAAACAAGTTCTAAACGAAACTTTCAATGGAGTGTGAAGAAATTAATTACACTTCTACGACACGACCTCGGGGTTATCCAGAGGTCACGGCTTAAAAGTTTTTTCTACACATTTTTGAGATTACGAAATATCCGAACCCAGCGTGCGTTGAATTATGCTATTGAAAAGTATTCAAGCGGCATTCGAACGGGTGATTTGAACTGCGGTGCGCGCGCGCAGCACAATCAACTATCAATCAAGAGACGATCTCTTGATTAGAGGTAGGTTCGGCAGGCAGCGGGCAGTCATGGTGCACGCCCGAATGTCGGTCAGCTATCGTGGGAACCTGTTAATCCAAAATGCGTTCTATTTGGTACTACTATACAGATAAGTGCTTCACCAACACTGAATTGTTTTTTTTTTTAACATCAAGTGACGGTACGAGTAAGTTGTGCACCTGATGGTAACCTACACGCCTGTCCATAACAGTTTTTTTTTTTTTTATAATAATAAGTTATAGCGCCACTCAGAGCTTTAACGATATATTAAGTAAACATTTAATATTTTTAAATATAATATTTTTTTCGATAATGAATTGAAATTTGACCTCACTATTGTAATCTATCAAAACAGCCATCTGGCTGGATGTAGTAGATATGTTTGGCCAATGGTTCATATGAACATTGTTATCATACACAGAACAATAAATACATTATAAGTGCTTACAGGGCGGAAAACGTGTGCCAACAATACGCGGAGTTCCACAAACTTGAGCTCAGTTTTCGCTTTGTGGGTTATGGTCGTGTCAATTATGTCACGCAAAACCTCGAAAATAGTGGAAAAATGCCTTATTTTGCTACTTTGCAGAGCAACAATCATAATCGCAAATAATAATATTATCCATGGTGGGGTTTTATATCATCGTTAATTCTCATTTTATTTAATTTTAATAAATTTTCCATTTTCGGTTTATCGTAATATTTGTTTTGTTATAAGAAAACACGAAAGTAAACCTTGTGCCGATGCAATATGGTCGGCTTCTTTTTTGGAAAATCATTCGTTGTCTCTTTCAGATATTGCCGCTAGATGGAAGCTCATTGAATGAAATTGCAATATAGTATCAAAACGTCGTAACTTGCAATAAAAGGTATTAAAATTTCAACGATATTCTAAGGGGTTAAGTTTAAATTATATTAACTGTTAATTTGTTACACCTTTTTAAATAATTCCGTATAATTCTGATAGTACCTAATCTAGGCTTCAGATAATTCCGTTGTTAGTTTTTCTTTCGTGTTATCATAATTCCACTCTTTTTTAGCATTCCTCTATAATATGATGAGTATAGATAGAATGCTTTTAAATAATTATATACTTTATACAAATACCTAACTACAAGTAAGTAAGTACCTACAGTCATACACTTGAACAATTTTCCCACATTCTGAATTAGAAATGATATATGACGTAAAAATTTCTTCAAAATTTCTGCTGGTATAGTTGATACTTATTTTTTCTAATTTATTTTTGTAATATCAAGTGACGGGATCTACAAGTCGTGCGCCTGGTGGTCCATAACAGTTGTAAGACCACTCAGCGCTTTAAATTGTAATGATCTGAGGAGCGCTGCCACGTCGCCAGTCACCCTGAGACATGAGTTGACAAGTCCCATAATATTACTATTCCTTGAAGTGAAATAAAATAACCTAATTATAGTGCAATAGACAGACTTCGCTGGAAATCTATATTTACAATGGAAGGATTTAGTTTGTACAAGTACAGGATTGAATAGCGTACAAGTTTTCGATTGTGATCTTCATGCTTATAAGTTTGCCTCGACCGCCTCCTACTTGGTCATACATAACGTAGCCGAACTGGTAGTCGAACAAGACAGTACAAAGGGTATACGTACAGGTGTAGGTCCAACTATAAAACAGACTTGGATGGAATTGCATGATTTAATTGCCACCTTCCCCTTTCCATCATCGGGGAACTGGACGTAGGCTGGAGTTTCACCCCTGTGTTGTAGATATTGAAAGGTTTCGCAGGAAGTGTTTGGCTTCTACATTTATATGGCGCACGGCTTTGGAGTGGAATTCCCTGCCTGCAGTCTTATTCCCTGAACGCTATAACTGGATCTGGTGTGCATGTCCATCTTCAACCTCATCGTCACTTTCCATCAAGAGATATTAAGGTTAAATGCGCACTCCTGCTCCTATTGAAAGATTTCGTCCAGTGAAGTACTGCCACCTTGCCTATTTCTGCCGCCAAGCACTAACCTGAGCGTTACTGCGTTCCGGTTTTGAGGGTAAGGGTGCTGGTAAAATTTCAGGCACACGGGACTTCAATAAAAAAAATGTCTGCTTTTCAACTTATGTCTCAGGGTCATGGGCGCAGTGGCAGGGATCCTAAGATCTTTGCAATTTAAAGCTCTGAGTGGCGCTGCAACTGTTATGGATAGGTGTGTCGCTTACCACCAGGCGCACGGCTTGTTCGTACCGTCACTTCGTATTATGAAAAAAAAATACATTTTTAATAAAAAAATTTGACTTTCGAGTTGTATAACGCAGAACATGGCCCACCCATCTGCAAGCGGTACGAGTTCCAGAACGCCACACAAAATGCAGTTCATGCGAACGCTATGCAGCGGATCACTGAAGCAAGTAGATCTAATTTGCCACTAATGAGGAAAGTAGTAGAAGAAGGGATGTCTGTTGAAGCCGTACCAAACTAGACCTTACCTCTTTTCATCATCACATCGTGTAGAAGGAGCCTTGAAGTACGGATCAGCACACCAACGACAGTGCGACGCTGCGGACAGGCATTTTCCGCATTCCTCGAGCTCGATGCATACCAGCTTGTTCTGCACTTGTTGCAGCTGAACTGTTTGTGACAGAAAAATAAAATTTTCAAAAGAAGAGCTTGCGAGGGGATATGCTTGAGTTTTTCTAAATGACGATGAACAAGTCGGTTCTTATTCTTTTCACGTTACGTCCAGCAAATCGCAAAAGCGACAAAAGGAATAAAATTTATAACATTAAGCTCAATTTACGTCCCCAGAAAGGAAAGAAAGCGAATTGCATAGTATAATGAAGTTTAGGTCAATTGTGTAACGAACACAGCATTTCCTATATCTATAGGTACGAGATAAAACTTTTGAGATTCGCTCTGGACCTTTTGGAGGGAAAAGTGTCGTTTTTATTTTGACTTTCAATTATTTTGTGAAATCTAGTTTAAAGTGGAATAGGATAGTGCTATTGTGCCTTAATCGAAGATTAAAACGCGAAATTATACGAATCTCGAACTAAAATACCCGTATCGGCCCGTTTTAAGGAATCCCGAGTCAATCCAAGCACGCCGCCTCAAATTGCCTATCCTCTTTGTGGCGGTCATATTTACAGAAACATTTAAACTTCATGTTTAGGCTGATGGCTTTGCCAAAGCCGTAATAAATAAATAAAAAAAAAAGATAAAACTTTCATAGTTTTCTCACAGATGGCGCTACGGCAAAAGTCATAAAAACAAAGAACAGAAAAACAAAGTACGTAGTAGTAGTTGTAAAGATTCCTAACTGGGTGACGAAATACTGTCATAGATAGCGCTACAGCCAAAAAGTCGTTGAAAACCAAATACAAATATCCGACAATAAGCACATAGAAAAATTCGTGATGTCCGCTGGTTGTTCCGTGGCTTAGTTGGCATAGCGTTAAGCATAGCTTCGAATCTAGCCGGATCGAAGAAATATTTGTAAGTGTTTGTATTAATCTTTTTATTAATAATTATAACAGTCCGGAATTTGTTATTTCTTTTTAATCAAGATGTTGTAGTGTTTCAAATTAAGAATGTGTGAGTTTTGACGACATCGGTTCTGTTAGTAAACCACGCTTAAGGCATTTCCATTGTTTTTTTTTCTTTCGTGGGCACAATTATAGTCAGTTGTGCGTTTTTTGTGTTATTTATGGTTATTTATGAAGTAATTATTGTAATTAAACCATATAATAAGGGCATAGTTCTGTACATTACTAAGTACAATTCTTTGATATTAGTGTTTTTAACTTAATAATTTCATAACTTAATTTTTAAATGTATTCCATCGAAATCGTATTGTTCTATAGAAATAAAGTAAGTAGTACTTACATACGTACAACTAGTCGGTAGCTATGCATGTTTAAGTTTTTAAGATTGTTTAATAGTTTTAATTCATAAAATGGATGCATTCTTTGCTACGCCTTTACATGGTATTAAATAATAAGGGCATATATATTTAATACAATGACTTTTGGTTTTAAAAAAATAGCATACTTATTAATACAAAGATCGAACACTCAGAAAAAATTCCTTCGATCTCATTGACTTACAAATAAATGGACGACGGGTCTAATACAAAAACCACGAAAAAAATGTCCCAAGTCAACCTATTTAAACGTAGTGACATGTAAAGGAATATGAAAAAACTAAAACGTTGAATTTAAATTGTAATGTCATCGCAGTACTGTCTAATTTTGCTTGCTTCGCTGTCAGTCGAACAAACGAAGACTAGAGCGTGAATGACGCTCTGTATACGATTTTAACGCCCTATAAGTTCGGACACTTTTTAGCGCGGACTCGACGTCCATATAATTATAAGTCAATGTTCGATCTGGACGAACCGACGTCTTCTAGCATACCGTGGCAGACGCTATACCAACCAAGCCACGGAACGAACCAGCGACTTCACGAATTTTTCTATGTTCTTGTTGTCGTGTCTTTGTATTTAGTTTTTCAACGACTTTTGAGCCGTACCGCCATCTATGTGAAATCTGTGACATTTCGTCACCCAGTTAGATACCTTTACAGCTACCAGCTCCGGCTTGTGATCTCGCTATTCATTGTATTTTTAAATTTAGTAACTAGTGGAGTAATTTCACATAAAAATAATTGAATATCAATTCAATAAAAATTTTAAAATAGCAGACTTGCTCAGATGATGTAGTCTGGCACATCATCATTACAAAACATACAAATTTATCTACTTTGTTTTAAACACTGCCTTGTAATCAACCGAATCGATCTACAGTGTTATGTTAAGTATATCACGGAAGTGAGATGCATCGGTCATCTATTTTCAACTCGCGTTTCTGTTAAATTGGAATTCCCGCGATGAAATATTCCATGGTACGGGTTTGTCTGACGATGTTGCGATTAACATTTATGATTATGATTTAGTTTTACATGCTTTTAATCCGCTTCGTTTGCTTTAGGAAGTCATTCGTTTAGCTTTTTGGGTCAGCTGTCTTATTATTTTGAGGTATATTGTACAGTTGATAAACTACTACTAGATACTATCGTCATCATCGTCGACTCACTGCTCGGGAAGTGACCCTTTATAGAATATGGTTCAAGCATATTTTTAGTAGCAGTAGTGTTCCTTGTGAAAGAGTTCGTCCAGGGAAGTACTTATTTATCTATTTCCGCCGCTAAGCGTTCCGGTTTAAAAAGGTAAGAGTGCTGGTGAAATTACAGGCACAACTTATGTCTCAGAGTGACGGGTAGTGACCCTAAAATCTTTGCGGTTTAAAACTCTGAGTGGCGCTGCACATGTATGATAGGCGTGTCGCTTAGATAAAGATGTATGGAAAGACGACATTTCTCTAGATTCCACATAAATTTGATTCAAAGTCCCATAGCATTTAAGTTTATTTGAAAAGAGCAATCCCTAAAGTTTCTTGCTCGTTCTTCTCAGGGAAGTCACCGTACGAGCAGTAGTTTAAATGTGACGTTTTCAAGTGTAAATTTAATCTACCTACGGCATAAATGATTCCTTGACTTTGACTTTGCTTCCCACCAGACGCACGACTTATTCGTCCCGTCACTTTTATTATTAAAAAAGGACTTTTTCGTAAATGTGACACTAGTGCAAGTGTTAATTCCTTCAAATTTATCTCTCAAAGAGACTCTGAAGCCCTGACCGTAAATAACCTCTTTCATCTTCATTCACCTTTTTATCATCCTTTTCTCTGGTTCCTGCCCACTTACTTTTGAAATTTAATTTTAATTCCTTTGCCTCGTCATTCTTACTTTGCTTCTTTCTGTGTCGCTACTCTCACCAAAAATCTCGAGAGAAAGACCGTATTCTCCTATCATGTAAACTTAACTGCTTATAAGCAGCAATAAACCGAATACAGGCCCTTTGGGCCTTAACCTGTCCTTCCTTTCTTCCTTTCTTCCTTCCTTCACCTTTTCCCTGTTATACTTCTACAACAAAGTCATGTGGACTGAGCGTACTTTCTACCACTATTACTCGACCTCTCGGCCACAGAAGTATTGCTACGAAACATTCACAAATGCACGTGATTTAGAAATTAAACTTCACAATTGGACGTAGTTAAATAAAAATGATCCAATCCACATTCACTCAGTTTCGAGATATTAACATTGTTTTGTTTGAATTTTAAAAGTGTTTCTCACTCGAGTTTTATTTTCAAAACTTATAATATCATGTAATTCTAGAGATATTTATTTATGTTTATATGTTGGATTTTCTTTGCTGATCTAAGTGGTTAGACTTTCTACCAACGCCTATCTACTAAATGGTCCCTATCATTTGGTAGATAGGCGCGTTATTATTTAACTCATTTTTTATATTTGTGGATTGAATCCTTTTTTCTTAACTACGTTCAATTGGAACCAGCCACACGCAGAGTTACCACCTCTCATTCTACTAGATAACGTTATGATATGAGCAAAGAAAGATGACTGACACAACCCGAACACGATTTAATACGTATCTCCGTCAGCTACAGCGAGATTCGAAGCGGAAAGATTCTACATACCATGATAATTGTATTTCATGAAAATTTAAAATTTATGTTCACAATCCTGTTTAAAATTTAAAATATACAAGCAAACATAGGTATATTCTTAACAAAATAAACGAAAGCTACAGTTGCGTCATGATCGATTAACAAAGTCAGCATTGTGCTATAGTCTATATCGGATCGGACATATATTACCAATGTAAACAAGGAGGTGAAGGTAGGCGTGACTGCCTTATACGGACCGCCAAATACGTCGTTCGGTTACACAATTTTGTATTCTGTAAGAGTTGATGAGAGCGGTGCGAACGCAGCCAACGTTCATGGCGTGTAACCTACCACAGCTGTACACTAGACCAGAGAACAAAAAAGTAGCGAGAATGGACACTCTCCGCTCCTCCCTTGCTTTAGATACCGCACCACGCCCCGCACATTGACGATCACTTTGACTGAACGGCAGCAAGGCTGTTGGCGAGCCGTTTTCGCGCTAAGACGGCTTTGATATTTGAATATAGTTTTCATTTATTCATTACGAAACTTGTACATTAAAATGTAACATCATTGTTCGTTACCATTTATAATAGTCGTGAGTTGTACTGTGTACGGCTGTTTATTATCATCTAAACGGGATGAAGAGATGAGTTTCTTTCGCTTTCCGAATTAATGAAAAATATAATATTATATTGATATAAATACCTAATGAACCCGTTTAATTATTAGTATTCCATTAATAGAATTATAGATAACAGATTCTCGTTAGAATTTTCGTTATGTTGCCGTACTCTAACCACGTAATAGTATGAGAAGGTGATGGTAACCCTGCCACTTCACGCACACATTTGCGCGTGTGCAGATAGCGCCTTGCTGTATGTAGTAGTTGTGGGTAAATAACTTTCGACCGTTGTATGGAGTGTAACTAGACTATATCAATAAGAGCAATTATCATCCGTAAGCGTGACGACGTGACTTCAATAGCACTATATAAAAGAATCTTAGAAGAACATGCGTAGTCTAAAATAACTTCGAAAAAAAAATTTGTAATTTGTCATAATAACATCGCAAGTGTTTTATTGTGTTGAAACGATTAGT